CCCCTCCCGCCTGGCCCCATGTCCTGGCCTAGCTCTTCCCTCCCTGAATGTCACTGTGTTCCACTGCCACCCCCCTCCCCCCAGCTCGCTTGTCTGTTTAGGACAGGAACCACTGCCCACCTTTGTAGGGTCCCTAGCATGACTCAGTGATAAACAGGGACAAATGCTACTAGAGGTTGGCCACTTACTTGACAGAGGCAGCGCTGGGCCACCGTCGCCCCAGTTTGGCCAGCTGCTTCCTTGGGGAGTTGATCCACAGGCCCACTGGGAGATGAAGTTTCCCAAAGCGGGGGCTGCCGCCCTCCTTTAGTTCACCAGATAGCATGGCCCTAAGGGAAGAGGGTAAGGCCCCAAGTCCTAAGGCCACAGGAGGGGGGCTGGGAACGGAAGAGAGAATGAATTCTGGCTCCTGGATCCCAGGGAGGTAGAGGGGTAGGTAGAACAAAGAACTCCTAGGTCCCTGGATGGGTCATTGCTGTGGCCCTTACCCTGCTTCGGGTCCTGTAGCACCCGGAGGCCCTGGTGGCGTTGGCCTCCGTAAAGTCCCAATCCCTCTGAAAAGTGTTTTCCTCTGCCCCGGCTCCCAGCACTGGGTGGGGGACAGGAAAAGGCAAGAGGAAACCCGGCAGGAAGAGCGGGGAGGGGGCGTCCTGTGAGGAGACCAGGCCTTGGGGGAGGAGATGGGGCAGGGCTGGGCGCTGGCCTATGCCTTGATTCTGGGCCCACCATTCATGGGGCCCCTGCAGAGGGAGGTCCCATGTTCCAGCTACTCCCTCCTCAAATGGGGACATCCAGACCTCCTCTCTTGGAGCCAGGCGTCAGGACCAGTCCCCAAGAGTAAGCCAGATACTAAGACAACAGGTCAAATCTTTATTGGCTCTCTGATTCCTCGGCCTTTTCCTCTGTGTCCTCAGTGCCACTCTCAAGCTGCAATTCCGGCTCCACCTGGAAAGAGGGCCTCTCCAGCTCTGACGACTTGAATTCCGTCTGTGATGACTTGATGTCTAAACTTGAGGACTTCGATTTAGCTCTAGCTTTCCTAAAGTGAAGTACCCTGGGGCAGGACATGGGTGCATAGAACCACATTAGATCATGGGTTGAGTGAAGTTCTCTTCCCTAGACCTCCACAAACCTAACCTAGCAGTTTACACAAGGTTTGTCCTCCTAAGTGAGCCCCAAAGGAAGGTAGGTGCCCAGTAGGAGCATCCTGTTGTCTGCCAGCACTGGACTGTAGGAAGCCCTGTCCTGTACCCAAGCCCAGTGCCCTCCAAATCACTCTCCTCTGAAAGGTCCTGCCCTTTCATTGAAACCTCATCCATCCATCCATGCCCTTGTCCACACCCTTCTATTCAAAGATACACCTGCCTCTGCCTCCCGAGTGCTGGGATTAAAGGCGAGCGCCAACAACGCCCGGCCCAAACTCCTCTCTTTACCCAAGACTACACCTCCATCTCATCCCTGCCTCTCCCTTTAAGTCCCACTCTTACCCAGCCCCCCTCCCACTCCTCTATCAAAGCCATGCCCCCTCCCAAAGCTCATTTCTTTTCAAAGCCTTTGCTACACTGCTATCCAAGCCTCTACTCTTCATACAAGTACATTTCATTTAAGGCCCACCCTCCCTCCAAGTTTCCCAGTGGGTCAGCTCACGAGGCAATGATGCTGGCCACCAGAACTACGAAGCCAAGGATCAACAGTATTAAGAGTCGATGTCTCAGATTTCCCGATGGTTTCGGTTGATGGGCGATCGTAATTATGGATTCCGGGGTCCCAGAAATCACCTGGCCAGGGGTCTCCTCCTCCTGGATTATGATGTTTGGTGCCGGTTTTTCCTCTAATGGCCTTTGGGGTAATACTGACAGAGGAGAGCCAAAGGGCAGTCCTGGCAGCAGCTGGTGAAGGCATGCCTGCCCCCACAACCCTAGCCCTCTCTAGAGGGTGGGTGCACCCCAGTAAGTCCAAGCTAGGCCTAAGGCAACCCCTCAGGCAGGAAGCCCCTCACCTCCATAACCAGAAAGCGCACCTCCTAAGGGAAGCCTCGCCTCTTAGTGCAGAGCCTGGTTATAGCCAAAGCCACACAGCCCAAAATGAGGCCATGCCCACAGGAAATCAAGTCCCATGGGTGAGGCTACACATCCAGAGATTCTGCCATCCCAAATGCCACTTTTCCAACACCTCAGACTGACCTATGACACGAAAATGGATAATAGTGGCAGGACCAGCATTGATGGTTCCCAGTTCGCAGCGGTAGTTGCCGGCATCCTCTGGACCCACCATCGTCTTGGTCATGTAGGGTTCTCTCCCCTTGGACATCAAGGTCTCAGAACTGTTCCCCCAAACCTAGACCCAAGCTCAAGGGGTCACAGAGGCCTGGGGAATTTGAGGACTGGGGGAGTAGAGGGGTGAGAAGGTCACGGGGCCTCGGTGCAGGGGAGGCAGGAATCAGGACCTAATCATCGCCCTAATTCTCACAGGAAGCATAGTAGACCCCCCTACCCTCCGTGGTGGCATGGCTAGGATGGGAAAGGCCCTGGTCAAGGAGTGGGGTCTCTGTGGGGATCAGTAGAGGACGCCTCTAACAGGCCATGAGGGGTGGGTTCAGGGCAGGGGACCTGGGCCTCACACAAATCTAATAGACATAGGGTCAAGGATCACAGGAGTGATGTTCCCACCTTGTAAAAACTGTACTCCGTAAGTCCCTCAGAAGCGTGATGCCAACTGAGCTGGCAGTCCAGGACCATGTCTTCCATGCGATGCACCTCTATCCTGCGCTCTGTGCAAAAGGAGGGGGCTGCAGCTACTTCTGTGGGAGCCCTGCTGTGGCTGCCTCCCTCCTAGTTCCACCCCTCTCACGCTAGGCCCTTGAGCTGGGTGATGTGCTCACCCCCACAATCCATGGATTTCCGACAAGAGTGGACCTGCTTCTCACACTTATTACACCAGATCAGAGTCTGCAGCATCGTGCCTGAAGGGTGAAGGTTAAAGTTGTTTTCTCTCACTAAGACGTGGGGCTAAAAGGAGAATTTGGCAAGGTCAAGGGCTGGGGCTGCTGTTGGCACCAAGTGTCTGGGTTGTTAGTGCCCCCGCCAAAGCTCAGTAAGGAGTGCAACTAGAGTAAACCCCCACTACCTAAGAAAGATGGATATCGAGTACTGGAGGGCCAGGGATAGCGCAAATGGAGGAGAGTAACAATCACCAATCCTGGGGGGAGGCTTGTGGGGGCAAGAGAAACAGATTATGCATACTGGACTCACCACATTGGTTGGGACAAAAAACTGCCTCCGAAGGGGGAAAGGGGGGAGGGAAAGAGAAAGAAAATCACATTTGTTTTTGTTTTCAGAAAGGAGTCTGGTATAACCCAGGCTGGTCTCAAACTTTACATCAATGAGGATGACCTTGGACATTTCATCTCTTGCTACTACCCATCAAGTCCTGTGATTAAACGTTCTATCAGTCAGCATCTCAGCACGTAGCCCAAGGTTGCCACAAATCTGGCAATCCACCCATCTCAGCCTCCCAAGTGCTGGCATTACAGGTTTTGCTACCAAGCTCTAGAGGATATTTCCTTCTAAATTAATGGGAGTGGATGCGGAGCAGAGATCTGAGATTTAGGAGCTTTTAGACACATAGGCAAAGGACCTGGAGAAGGTGTTCTTGAGGACATGGATGGAAGAGAGGGTTAAGGAAGCTGATGGCTGGGCCCTGGACTTTCATCTTCCTCACCTTCTTTTTGGAACCGCGTAGCAAGGGTGGCAAAGATGTCCTTTTGCAGACGGAGCATCCAGAATAATTCCTTTACAAAGAGCTCTCCTAGGAAGAAGCAGAGCCAGGAATGGTGCTCCCCAAACTCACTGTGAGGTGCAGTAAAGCATCCCATATGTCACAGATTCTACTCCAAGTGGCCTCAGATTCACCATGTAGCTGAGAGCGACCTTGAACATCTGATCTTTCTGTCTCCACCTTCAAGCATGCACCGGCATACCCAACATCTGCCTCTTAGTTATCTCTCCTCTCCGAGTCTCACCATGTATTCCCCACTGTCCTAGAACTTGCTGTGTAGACCATGCTGGCCTCAAACTCAGATCTAACAGCCTCTGCCTCCCCAGTGCTGGGATTAAAGGTGTGTGCCGCCACCACCAGCTCCACCACTCTTTCTTATTTGCTTGGCAGGATGGCACTACGTTGCCCAAGCTATTCTGGAACTCTGGGTTTAAGCAATCCTCCTGCTTCAGCCTCTTGAGTAGCTTTAAGTACAGGGATGCCCCACGTGTCTTCACTGGCATTCCACACTCTAGCCCTTCAGGGGAAAACTATAAGACTAAGCACTGAACACAGAGCTGGGCCATAGGGCTACGAAACAGATCCTCACAGTCACGGAGAAAGGGAGACGATTGTGGTCTCCATATTAGGGCTGAGGAAGCTGCCCAGCCTTAGGCTCAAGGCCACATGGCTAGGAAATGGCAGAACCAGAAAGGCTCTCAAGCAGAGGCTTGAAGCTTTAAGAAACCAGCCACGGTTCCTCAGAGGTTCTGCCCTCATCCTGTGGTACATTTACCTTTTACATCACTGTCCGTGATACGTTTCAGATCCTTCAGAAAACTCCAAGATGCCTGTTCCAGTGTGTCCTCATCTGTGTGTGGAGGGCAGATACAGAACCCCAGAGTCCAGCTTTTCTGTCGCATTGGCTTTTCTAAACAATACCCATGAGGCCATTGGGCAAAGAGAGGCCTGGTGTAAGAGGTAACCGCTCATTGCCTTATGGGAGTTGTAGTTTTACCACACAACTTGCTAGAACCAATATTGTGAGCTATAAGGAGGGAACTCCATGATTCTGTATCCCAAGACTTTTCCATTCCTTTTTTCTTCTTCTTCCTTTTCGAGACAGGGTCTCACTATGTAGACCAGGCTGGCCTCAAACTCACAGAGATGCACTACGCAAGAGCATGGACCACTAAGGCCCAGCGACATTTCCATTCTTAAACTCAGTAGCACTTCTGGCCCCAGCCCTTCCTCTCCCAGGACCCTGAGGTCTTCATCCTGGCCTGCCCTCCTTACCCACGGCCCCCACATAGGTATCCTTATTCAAAGGCAGATCCTTGAAGTCCTTCACCGCCTGCTCT